AGGAGGAGGAGGAGGAGGAGGAGGAGGAGAAGGAGGACGAGACGACTCGGAGGAGTAGGGGGAGATGGTGGTGGCGAAGCTGGAGGAGGAGTGGAGGCAGAGGCGAAAATGGAGACGAAGGTAGAGCAGGAGGCGGAGGGGGAGGAGGAGCTGGCGGAGGTGGCGGCGGCGCAGCTGGAGTCACTGGCCCGGCGCGGGACAGCTCATGGGGTCCTGTCTGAGCCCGTTCGGCGGCCCTATGGACAGCCGAACGCGCATAAAATTCCACCATGGTAGTGGGAATTTCGCCCATTCTGCCGCCGAATGGTCTCGACCTCGGCATGGCTCGTTGGGCGGCCGACTGGGCTCGGAGGCATGTTCAAAGCCGGCCCCCAGGCCCCTCCCGAGAACTATCGTGGCCCGTCTCCAGAGACATGCCCAGCCGTGGCGACGAGTGCGCCACCAGAAGGCCCCCAACACGGGAAGGATCGATAAGGATAAGGAGGAGAAGGCGGCGAAAGAGGGAGAAGGAGGAGGAAGAGGAGGAGGAGGAGGAGGAGGAGGAACAGGATGAGGAGCAGGAGGACGAGGACTGGGAGGAGGAGGAGGAGGAGCAGGAGAAGCAGGACGAGATCCCGAGCAGGAGCAGTGCGAGGACGACGCCGCCGCCGCCGGGCCCGGCTCCGCTGCAGGGGCCGCCGACGGGGCCGCCGATGGCCTCCCGGGGCTGCGGGACGCCGCCGATGTTCCCGCCGACGTCGCGGCGGCCGCGGCCGCGACGGCGTCCGGCGGCAGGTTCTCCCACTTCCCGGCCGAGTTCAAGGACGCGTGCGCCCGGGTGTGTGCCGAGCCGGCGGACGCGGACCTCGCGTCGCTCGCGCCCTCGGACCTGGTCCTGCCGGGAGGGAGCGCGCGCACACGGGCACAGAGAGCCGTCGGCTTCCGGGAGAAGGAATTGGTGGAAAGTAGGCGAGGTGTGGGGGGGGAAGACGAGTTTCCAGAACATAGGGGAACATATGGGGAATCCTGGGATTTGTGTCTGTGTGTATGTGTGTGTGTGCGTGTGTCCCTGGGCCCCCTCAGTCTGGCGACGGCGGCGATTCTTCGACGACGGCGTGGCGGGGAGGCCAGCGCTGGCGAGGAGACCTTCGGCGGGTTTGCGGGGTTGGCGGGGAGGCCTAGAGGCCAGTGGGGCAGAGGAGTGGCGGCTCGGAGGCCTACACGCGGGTCGTTGACAGTAGGCAATTTTAATTTTATAAACTCCCAGATCCCAATCTGCGTTGGGCGCCTTCCTACTTCAAGGCTCGAGCGGTGTTCCCTCTTCCCTCCCCTTCAGGGGGCGCGCGGAAGCCAGATCCACTCCCAACGCCTTCCTTCTTCATGTTTCTCTTCACTTCTCTTCCGTCCGACGGGTATTGGTTGGCATCAGCACTGATATCGGCGGGAGCCTCCACCGAGGGAAGATGATCCCGATCTCGGTGATGGTGGTAATATTCGGGCTTCTGACGTGGCCGATGGATTACCACCAGCACGAGCCAACATCTAGGCTCATCTTCCCTCGGTGAGACGCCCTCCCGTGTCGGTGTTGGTGCCAACTTGCAGGCCTGCCTCCAAGCGGCGGGAGTGGGGAAGGGGCTGTTTGCGGTCACGTTCGTCCGTCGCCGCTTGTCCTGGCGTTCTCTCTGCCAGTTGCAGGGCTGCCGCGGCAGGGCCCCCGTGAAGCTGAACGGCGCGAGCATTCATGCCGGTTGTCCATTGGGCGAGCTGGAGCGAAGCCCAAAGTCTAAGCTCGCAAGACCCAGTTCGCGGATTTAGCGGACTCGATTGTCGGGCCGCGTCAGGGACACTTTCAGCAGCTACAGTTTACCGCGCGCTCTGGGCCCCTTTTCCATAAGCCTACTGGGACGTCGCTTTCTCGTTTCGATACTCGATGATGGACCACCATAGACAGGCGATGCTTGCCTACATGGAGGGATGGAGGGCAGGGGATGGACTCGGGTACATCCCAGACGCTGAAATAAGGACCGCTTTGGGTTCGGAAGGGGCTCGCTGTGCCTTAGGTCCTTCCGTGGCGGTTCCTCTAGCCCTCCTCCTGCACCCAGGCAATGTTGGCGCCAAACAAGGAGCTTCATTCCTTATTTAGCATTCCTTATTCAATCGCTTCGCTCATTTCGCCGGCCCTCGAGCGCTCTATGGGGCCTCTTTGAAGCCTCTTGGGGGCCTCTTTGGGGCCTCCTAGGGGCCTCTTGGGGGCCTCTTGGGGGTCTCTTGGGGCTCCTTGGCGGCGTCTTGGGGCCCCCTTGGGCCTTTTGGGGGGCTCTTGGGGGCCTCTTGGGGCGGGGTAGTCGAGTGCACCCCCCTCGGAGGCCACAGTCCTCGTGAGGGGTGTCGAAAAGAGGCCTTCACAACCATCTCTGAGTAGACCTTCCCGGGCTGCGCTCGGGGTACTTTTCGCCGGGGGACCCCCAGGGGCCGCGCCCCGAGGTCTTAGCACGCCTCTGGCCCGCTGGGCCTGCGAATT